CATATATCCTACTATGCTTTCTTTGAACCTTTGTCATGCATATTGCGGTATAAATTATGGTCTTGGTAATCATTTTAAACAAGTCACCACGCAAAATCGTTATTTTACCACTAACTTTGTCCAGGGAAGATAATTTTACTTTCAAGAATTTATTTGTTACTTTACTACGGAAATCCTGTTTCAGCAATGATACGCACCATGCGGTAGAAAAACGACAGCGCCCCCTCTATTTTCGAATGTACAATGTGCCCATGGAATGAAAATTTTTTCCAAAAAAGATCCAATACCGTTTTCGTTGTTTTTCTTTTGTATTAATAAAACATATGTATTATGAATAAATGTTAGTATATATGTACTTAGGTAATTTAATAAAACTCGAAAAAAATAAAACAATTTGACATAAGATGTCAATTCCTTGGGATTTACCTAAATCCTCTAAATTGAATGGAATTCGAGTTGTTTACTTTTTGAGGAAAAAAAAAGGTTTGCAAATATATATCTACGCTGTTCGAGAATAACTGTCTGAAACTGCTATTAATAAAGTATTATTTTATTTACTCATTTTTATTGCTTTTCAGACAATTTCATAAATATTGTTTCCTCTTCATTTTTATGAAACAAATTTCATTAAGTTTATCTTCATTCTTTAATGTTTTATTTCACTCTGTAAATTGTGTATCTCCTTTGCCATAATTGATGCCTTGGTTTCTATTTATACTTCATTCTTACATCTCGTCTTCCAGATCGATATTCTAAAATACTTTTTCTGGTTCACATTATTTCGATTGTATAACTCATTCTATACGAACCGACCTGTTCTATATATTTTCCATCCGTTTAAAATCCACATTTTTATGTAAAGCACTTTTTTTTAATCAACAGTTGTAATGACTTGTAGGTGCTTTACATAAAGATTATTCCCTAATTTAAAATTAAAAATAAGATTTTTGCCCAAATGAATTCTTGTTTTTCTTAAAAGCAGACTACCGTGTAGTAGTTAAAAGTGCTCAATCTTGATGTAGTTTAAAATTGCTGTTTTCATGAGCCACTCAGGATTTTAATGTACACAGTTTAGGTAATGAAACCGATTTTAGGTTCGAATAAAACCTCAAAATGTGTTTCATCGACATCTTTCCGGTTTTAAACCAAAGTTTTCTGGTACACAAGGCCTTATAACCAAAATAGTTGGGCCCGTCGCGTCGTTCCTTACGCGATGGCCAAGGCTATAGCACAAAAAAAGGAAAAGGTCAACGTGTTTCATTCCTCCGACACCCCGCTGGATACCGGAGGCGGACTCCTGATCCTCTTCAGTCAGAGAACAGGAATGTAAGGATGGGTAAAGTTATGGATGAGAACGGAAGGAACTGAGTTAGGGTGCTGAGAGGGAAGAGTACCTACTGCTCCAGCATTCACCTCGTAGATTTCAACATAATGCTAGTATTATGCGAAGCTACGTACGTCTCAGGAAAACCCTCTGAAAAAACCCCAGACAGAGCAGTCGGCAACGCAAGTACTGCGCCACCCGGCTTCGGTAAAACGGTATAGCTACCTACTTCAATAGCGTTTAGCACAGGCTTTAATAAAAGGGGATTTCACGGACACACAGTGAGTCGTATTAATTGTTTATGTATACTTTTAGGCATACAGGGCGTTTCATAAAAGTCGTGGGAGATCGACATGGTCTTTTATGTGGAACAGCCTATATATTTTTGTATTTCGTATTCTGGTGTATATCTTGCCAATGTTACCAATCTTCCGTTTTCCGGGTATTAACTATTTTGTCTAAAAAGGGACGTTTTTAGAGTCCTCAAAAATTCTCTTATCTTCAAAGGTATCAAGCTATCAATGCATTTGTTTGTTTTTGTATTTAAAATAGGAGATATCTCGTCTAGAGGATCATACAAAGCTAAAAAATACAGGGTGTTCAATTTAAAAAATATGCTCAACATGACATAACTTGAAATGACGTCATTCGAAAAATATCCGTGTACGTCAAAACATGCATAATGTAATATCAAACAACATTGAACATGCGTTGATCCAAATTTTTGACACTGCAAAACCAAAAAATATCAGTATGCACTGAATCCTTGGACCAAGCCCTTTCAAATGAGCCCTATATCATCGCCCAAATCGGTTCAGTGGTGTAGAGGTAGTACGTGTGACGGACGGATGGGCGGATGACAAAGTGCAGCCAATAGCGATTTTTCACTTTTTCCGATTGGTCTCGCAATTTGTAAAACTATCTCCAACCCCCAATCTCAAGGGGGGGGGGGGGTTACACCCTTTTCTTAAAAGGTGTTTAAAATTCTTTGATATAATACTTATAGAGCGTATTCCCAGCAAAGTTTATGAAATTGTAACTATTTTGTTTTTCGATCAAGTTTAGATTGCTTACTTTAAAGACTCCCAGATACATCAAGTTTTGCTAAGATAGTGTCGTGATCATACTGGATATAGGGTATAAGGAACGAAAGTGGATGTGTTTCTGTGAAATATGATATGCTTTTATATTATTGCGAGATTTATTGTTGACTATATAAGCAAATTAAATTGTGTTTAGTCTTAGTCTTAACATTGATCTCGAAGTGATAAATAGCAAAATCCACGCTCGTGTTATAAATATGACTGCAAATGACCGATATCAATTCGTACTGCTATAATCAATCTCCACAAGGACTTTTTTATATTTTAGTTTTAGTTCCTCTGAACATTCATAATTAATTTTATATAAAAAATCACATAATTAAATTTACGTTTCAATAATTCGTTTCACCGTTTAGGGCACATTTTCATGGAGTAGGAATTTATAGTTGTTTTTTGCCAGGAAAGGATTGTAGCAGAGAACAAAATTATTTTGGGGATGTTGTGAGTGCAGTTCTCAAAAGAACATTTTTAAGCCTCTGTTTATGTATTTGCAAATACTGCCTAATTTTCTTTTACATGTTTTTTATTGTCTTCACTAATTTCGAGATTAATTCCGGTGACTGGTACACCAACATTCCATCGTGGTTTTCCTCTTCGGCACAATCTTGGTAAACTTGTACCCCTTTGGTTTTTAATGAAATTGTGGATAAAATCAAAATACAGTTCGGTCGAGGTACAAAAAATGTGTCAAATATTCATGTCACATTAGGATCTATCCGATCGCATATTGAAACTTTCAGTACCGGTTCCGGTTTCACCGGAAAAAATATGCAACTTTTGTTTTTCAAATTTAATGCTTATGATTTTTAAGGGCAATCAATTTGCTGTACGACAACATAAAATAAGTATGCATATAGTTGATATACAAAAAAGTGGAAAATTTCGTGATTCAATGTTTGGAAATCACGAATTTTTCCATTTTTTTGTATATTAACCATATGCATTTTTATGTTGTTATGCAACAAATTGGTTGCTCAAATATGTTAAAAAACATAGGCATTGCATTTGAAAAACAGAAGTTACATCGATTTCCGGTTAAACCGGAAGTGACGTCGAAAGTTTCAATATGCGATCGGACAGATCATAATGTTACATATGAAATTATAATTATCTGATAAATGTTTCGTATCTGGCTAAATAAAAGAGATATTGAGATAACTCTGTTATCACGAACTCACTGTATATGTGAAAGAAAAGGACAAACTAAATTTTCGAACAACCCTGGGGAAATGTCAATTTGAAGTCCTTTACTCTGAATATGGTTTTAATGTTTAAGTTGTTTAACCTGTAACGCCACCGATCACACTCGCTTTTCCGTCTGACGTTCATTCCATAAATGACAAAATGTTGGGCTAGATCAGGGGTCGGAAGAGCCAAAAATTACAATTTACAAAATTTTTTAAAGAGCCACAAAAAAATTTTGGTTCAATATTATAGTTTTTTGCTATATACAGGGTCCTGCAACAGTGCGTCGGTTTTTCCTACATAGCTGATACCTGGTAAAAAATATTGGTGGTTGCGGATCCACAGAAATTATTTTTGAATGTACAGGGTGTCCCATTTTTACGATGTCAATAAATAACTAATCTTTTTAAATAGAACATCCGATAGATGTGTACTAACGAAAAAGGATGTTACATTCCATTCACCATTCACTATTGTATCGTTATTTATTTAGGGGTCAATTTTATTTTGGGAAAAGCCGAATCTCTTCTGTGGCCTCATTTGTTTTGCATTTCGGATGATCTACTTCAGGAAAACTAATGTGTCCATCGTCTTACGTCGCATTTACATGTGGCACATTCTACTAAACAACTTTGACGACTAATTAGTTCAAAATACTGAAATACCTCACTTTGTTTCAATACTGTAAATTAATATGCTAAACTTTCAACAAGCTGAAGAAGGCAGCAAAACATGTGTTTTTAAAGACAAAAACGGGTACTAGTGGCGTGTAATAGGAAACCGATATTAATGCACACTTTTATCTCCCATATGGTAACCATATTTATAGTTATATATTTAATCTTATCAATGGAATGCGTAGTATTTGTACTACAAGGTCGAGCATACCAACCTGTATGTTCTATTATTTCCGTTCCCTTCGGTACCTTGTTACCTGTCCACTAAAACTAAGGTTTTAATGTGAACAAAAGAACAATTTGTCAAAGAAATGTAAGTAAAGGTACGAGAGCAAAACGTAAATCACAAATAATGAAAGATCACCAACACCATTAGATGGTAGATTTTCACGCTAATTTGCATTAATTATAGAATCTGATGTTATTAACATGCTCAACATACTCGATGACCTTAACAATGAGTTGACTAAATCAAGTATAAATATTCATGGGCAAGATCGCTACCAACCGATTAGATACATCAAGAATGGATTCTAATTCTAACAAAGGCATACCTTTAACCTATTGGAGGAAATTCCAATCAAATACAGTTAGTTTTACTCTCGGAATCTTAGCTATGGTCGAGACAAAGTTGCCAAAAAACATGGTCCCGGTTTACCTTACGTAATTACGGTACCCTGACACTAATAGTGATTTTTTTTGTGTTTTCAGGTGATAAGTTCCGCCTGGTCCTCGCAACAACACTAAGAGAGGATGGTTACCCCGACAGTGGAGATTGGAATCCGGCAGGGTTGGAGAGTGAGGGCTCCAGAGCGGACAGTTTTGAGTACGTCATGTCTGGGAAGGTGTACAGAATAGAAGGGGATGAATCGACCGTTGAACCATCAAGTCGATTGTAAGTAGCACTCTTTCTTTTGTCGGGTCGTTTACACCTCGGACAGTAAAAAAATTGATCTACTGCAAAAATATGCAAAATTGAGTTTTGTTCCAAACTCGTTCGTTTCATTTTGTATTTTAAGTGCATAAATTTTAGATAACCTTTTGTTGTAAAATATGGTACGATCCAAGAAATACGGAGAGCGTGTTAACTAAAATCAATACATAAAATAGATATAAACTGAATACGTTATTCCCTTTTAAATTGTTTTTTGTATTGCAATTAGTGCGCCTTTCAGTGTCAAATGCACTGAAGCAGAGTGTACAGAATAGAAGGGGATGAATCGACCGTTGAACCATCAAGTCGATTGTAAGTAGCACTCTTTCTTTTGTCGGGTCGTTTACACCTCGGACAGTAAAAAAATTGATCTACTGCAAAAATATGCAAAATTGAGTTTTGTTCCAAACTCGTTCGTTTCATTTTGTATTTTAAGTGCATAAATTTTAGATAACCTTTTGTTGTAAAATATGGTACGATCCAAGAAATACGGAGAGCGTGTTAACTAAAATCAATACATAAAATAGATATAAACTGAATACGTTATTCCCTTTTAAATTGTTTTTTGTATTGCAATTAGTGCGCCTTTCAGTGTCAAATGCACTGAAGCAGAGTAGGCTCTGACTGAAAGCTTGTTTGATTTTATGTAACGGCGTGCACGACTGGCTTTATTCATTTCCCAATAGATTACAAAGTCGTTTTTTTTCTATTGAAATTATAGGGAAATCCTGTAAAGTTGAATGTTTATAGTTTTTATGAATGAATTGTTCATATATGCGTATACAGGGTCGCTATTAAAGATGGAACCAAAGCTCTCGCACACAAACGGTTTTGAGATAGACATGAAAATTAGGACGCTTCTGTTTGAAATTATTTCTTCGTATGTAGGCCAGTCAAATTAGGAAAAATAGCGGAAATAATTGAAAGAAAGATGAAAATTGGTATAGAGGTACATAAGGGCTTGTATTCGAACATACTAAAAGTCGGAACCAAAACTCCAATGGCTCGAGCCGCCATCTTGGAAAAAAGGTGCTCCAAATCACTTTTTCGCTGATATCTCGGTAACCGTGCATGCTAGCAAGTAAAGTTTCATATAAAAAAAGAAAAATAATAAAACTTTGTATAAAAAAGATGGTATGCACTTTTTTTTGTATTTTCGTTATTTACGTCGATATTCCACATTGAATATAGAGCATAATCTTTTTTTCAGATGTAGGTGCATTACTTTCAGAGCTCGCGTGCTTTAAACATATGTTTGAAAAATTGACTGACATTGTTAAGGCCTGTTGACCACCTAAGAGAAGGAAATAACAATAATAATATATTTATGTTTCTACTATATAGCTGAATACAAAAGATACCTACATAAGGAAACTAAGAAAAATAAATATTGCCAAAATCCGAAGTCGTTTGAAGTACTTGTAATGGATATGGGGCATATTTACAAAAAAAATATAAATCAAACTTGACTTCATTTCATAAAAAAAATACTAAAAATAATAAACTAAACTAAACAATTGCATAACAATTCGCGAAATAGTACATAGCGATGTTCCAATATCCACACCTGAACTTTTTTCGTGAAAGCGGGATAGGTAGATATCTTTTTCATTTCGCGCGGTAGAATGGAATAAAGCCTTGGAGCAATGTACTGAGCAAATCATTTACCGATTGTTTTTTCAGACCTTTGAAAAAGTACCTATATTATGGTCTGTCTTCCTGGCGTGTATAATGAGAGTGCATGTTGGGCAGTAATTTTGGATGTTTTTATGAACAGGAGGATTTTGTTACAGTAAAGTTGGCTTAAATTCATTGGCCGATTCCAAGCAGTAGGTACAAGATTAAGAATTAAATATAAAAATCGTTGGAGACTATGAAAGAGACGACCAACGATAACTTAGATGCGATGCGCTTGTAGTTTGTTAAAAGATTCCCAAGCATCACTGATTTATAAAAATGTAATTTTTTATTTTGCCGATTTCTACGATTTTGAAAAACGGAAAATTATAAGTAATAGTATGAACAGATGCAGTATTTTTTTCTCTAAAAAAAACTTCTTTAGACTTTTGCTCTAAAATAATTAGGGGAGCTAGTAATGGACTATAAAGAAATTACCATTGACATCCCTGTGCTGCGTCGTGCCAACAATTCCATACATTAACAGTGATTGTATTAACGAGAAATACAAAACACACATCTGTTGAGTGAGTACGAAATGTCGTAAGTGTTTAATTTTAGATAAAACTATCCTTCTCTTCACTGGCCAACAGGCCCTAAAATGTCAACTAAATCAATTTTTTAAACATATTCATGTTTAAAGCACGCGAGCGCTGAAAGTAATGCACCTACATCTGAAAAAAGAGTATGCTCTATATTCAATGTGGAATATCGACGTAAATAACGAAAATACAAAAAAAGTGCGTACCATCTTTTTTATAGAAAATTTTATTATCTTTCTTTTTTTATACGAAACTTTACTTGCTAGAATGCACGATTACCGAGATATCAGCGAAAAAGTGACTTGGAGTACCTTTTTTCCAAGATGGCGGCTCGAGCTCTAGGAGTTTCGGCCCCGAAAAAAAATGTTCGAATACAAGCCCTAATGTACCTCTATACCAATTTTCAGCTTTCTTTCAATTACTTCCGCTATTCGTGGAAATTTGATCTAATTTGAGTGTACTAATGGGGATTCATGAAGAATCGTATTTATCAGCAAAATTTTACAACGGAAGAACAGAGGGGGTTAGTTCTGGAAGCGTTTTTGCTAGCATTACTCCACAAATCCTGACTAGGCTGTTACAATCAACTGTGCGAAGATGCTATCTATGTTTAGAAAATAATGGAAATCTTTTCGAAAAATTTAGTTACTTTATTCAAATTTGTTTCTTGCTATATTTCAATTCTTATATCTTCTTTTAATTTAATTTGATTTATTTTTTTGCACCGGTCCGTAGTAGAAATTTCTTAATTAAGGCCGAAAAAAAGGCTGAATTGATGCCAACTTGTTTATTTGAATTGAAACACCCTATATAATATTTTATTTTTAATTGTTTAGAGCCATAATGAAGTTGTTGTGTTCGACTGTTCTCTAAATGGGGTAGCATCGATCACTGGATAGAAATATTTCTCATAACCTTCCCCATAAACTGTTTCCGATAGTTAGATTTATTAAAAGTCGCATGTATACGTTTACTTCTTCACCATCATTCAACAGTTATTTCTACGTAATTCAACTTCAGTCGATTTTAATCCATTTTTTTTAAATCTTAACGTATTATAGGATTTATGGGGAAGCTATGAGAATTATTTCTATCCGGTGATTTTGTTTTTAGATTCTACGTATAATTCTATATACATTTCTGTATAATGCCCCATACCTAAATTTCGCCATTTTTGACATATTTTAATTTTTCTGTCACAAATGACGTTTGAAGCCCAACTTTTCTTACATGAGAGCTGTTCTTATTAGACTATGTGTTGATATTTCTATTTGCTTTATATTAATAGGTAAATACAAAGAGGTAAAAACTAACATTAAAAATTGAATTAAAAAAATCGTTAAAACAAAGTTTTTTATATGGAAACCTCTTCGTAACTATACAAAAAATAAGGGTAACTGGATAGTCCATTCCACAATTGTTCCCCATAAATAATAAACAAATTTAAATGATTTTTTTTTGTATAATTAATCCCCATGCATGAACTGACAAATGGTAAGAAAAAGTGCTTTATAGTGCTCGATAGTCGATTGTTTTTTTTTCGCTACCATGATGACGGGTCGCACTGGTATAATACTTTGGTATAACGCTTTTTTTGGATTACCGTAGAAACATGGTAGGAGTGACCACGCTGTTATTCACCATGTACATCTTTGTATGTAGAACATACAGGGTGATTCCTATAGTACCTGCCACCGTTTGGGAGCGTGTAGGTGGTGCGTAGGGGAGTATTTTGATATAGGACACTTGGGGTCGAAATCTAAAATAAGGGTGCCAAAATTTACCTTCTGGAATTTCGCGCCTGTAGGTAGGCAACCCAACCGGCCGGCGGTGCACACGGAGCGATCTCAGGCGGCGATGTGTGGCTGACACTTGATCAGAATTTTGTTTAAACCCACGAAATCCCGTCTGCAACGACGCGTATCAAGTGAATAAACACTATCACGTTTTACTAACACGGAATACGCGGACATGCACTTCATGTACGGATTGGCAAATGGTAACGCACGAGCTGCACGACGAGCGTACGCTGAGCGGTATCCAAACCGTCAGTTACCCTGCAGACAGGTCTTTCAAGAAGTTCACTTCCGACTGTGCGAGACAGGGCAATTGCAGGTAAGCTGACGGAGGCTTAACTTTACACACAGATTCGTGATGCACATCGATACTTGGGTCATTTAAGCACCCAGAAAAGTTTGTTTGTTTACACCGACCTCCTCCTATTTCGCAGCCCACTAGCGCCTGTCGCGATCGCCCGTTGGTAAATGCCTTAGAGGAGGATGTGTTGGAAAAACCCGCGTACTAGCACTCGACTTGTAGCAGATCAGGTGGGTTGTAGTCAACACACAGTGTGGAACATCGCCAACAACAACTTACACCCCTATAAGTTTAAGAAAGTGCAAGAGTTACGGCCGGGTGACCATGAAAGGAGGCTGGAATTGAAGAAGAAGCTAATCCGAACTTTCTGAGGAGCGTGCTAGTTACTGACGAGAAAGGATTCTCAAGAGAGGGGACCTTCAAAACAGCCACTACTGGGCGGAGCACAATAATAGCAGGATACCAGGACAAGTTTTCTTTAGTTTGGGCTGGCATCCTGGGGGACAACCTACTGGGGCCTTACATCCTCCCTCCGCGTCTAAATGCCCATAATTACCTGATTTTCCTGCGCGAGGTGCTACCAGAACTCCAGTGAACTTGTACTGGGACCACTGGTTCCAGCACGATGGGTGCCCTGCTCACTAC